GTTAATAAGGTCTTTCCCAAAAATATGCCTTCTTATCGCTTTGGAAACAATTAATTTTCGTTCCATCGGACCATATTACCCCTCTTCAGTTAAAAAGCTCGAATTCTCGTGACTTTTACCAAATCTAAGTGACAGCTTAATGGCTTGGGATGTTTTTCTTGCTGGCATTTGGTGTCTTGGGTTAATATAAAAGGTATAATGAACATATCCTCCAAACAAATTGCCGGACCATCGAAAAATTAGCGCTGTGGTCAAAAGAGGATTAGCATAGCACAAGCGAGCTCCGAGTAACATTATTTTAGGTAACAAGTAATTTTTTGCAAAAAAAACCGACTTCAATTCTCATATAAAAAAATAGATATATATACTAGTGAACCCGCATGACGTCAAAACGCCAACATTTAATTAAACTTTTTAAACAGGTGAAACCCTATTAAATAACCTCTAAAAATATTCCTCATGATTAATCTAAGCCATTTCTCAGTGGTGCTTTTAAAGTTTACGACATACAACAATACGACACTTACGACACCGTTGTGAATCCCCCAATAATTTCTTGAAACTCTTTCATTTGACATCCATCGCTCATATTTCATATAACTTATACCCAATAGTTCAATTAAATAGGTGGCAACCCTATTCAAAATACTTCCAAACTACTACCTTCTTAAACCTCTTTTATATGACATCCATATAGCGATACCTTATTCACTTACCAAATTCCTTTACGTAATTAAAATTGAATACATTTTTTTTTTACATATGGCAACCCTCCTATACGTAGTTAAGTTATAAAGCCTTTTCAAAACCATTTCGATTGCTACCCATATTTAATAATTGATTTAACTTATTAATTAATTTGAGCTCAATTTCTTAACAGGTGGCAACTTTTTACGAAAAAGTAAAACCTTCTTGAACATCCACACCCTAAGCCCTTTAATTTGGTACCTCACTTTTGAAAATCAAACGGACGGTGCGGATCTGAGGGCATTGATTAGTAAATAACTTGAGTATAATTATTTAGCAGGTGGCAACCCCTTTCGAAAAAATAAAACCAGTTTGCACATCTACAGGCCAAGCGCTTTAATTTGACACCCCGAACGAACGGTGCAGATCTTTTATGCTGCACAAAAAATGCCTTCGCATATTATATACATAGATATATCTCATGATCCACTGATCGGATCTTAACCAAATTAGTATGGGACCACCTCCGAGATACTACTTTCCGATGCAAAAATAATTATCGGTTGACGGTAGTAAAGTTGATGGTCGGAAAGTTATGCGGTAACATACATATAAAAAAAATAAATATATATGTATATTCCGACGAACTGATAACCTCCTCCTTTTTTGGAAGTCGGTTAAAAATGCAAATCATCTCTTGCCATGATAGTTCAAAAATTCAAAAGAACACTTTGAAAAACGGTTGCATTCTTTCATTTTAGGTAAAAATTACATAGGAATATATGTGGGTCCAGCCAGACCTATGTGTTACGAATGTGATGTATTAATCAACATCTCTATATATCTAGCTTTATATATATGATACCAACACGATTTTTTACAGATTGGTAATTCACTAAACTTTAGTAAGCTACCTGAAATTTCAAGCCTCTGGCTATATTTAAAGTACCCTTTTTTGTAATTTGAAAATGGAAAAGGCCTGGCTGGACTCATGTGTCAGACGAAGGGTTAATATTGCATAGCAATTATGAGGAATTGATTTTTGGTAAGCTATCACAAAGTTTAGTCTACCACTGCATAGGCGCGACTACGAAACATATTTACTGCCGCGGAAAATGGTACGACCAATGTTTAATATCGAACGACAATTGGTGAACTATATTTTTACTGTGTTGACTATATCTTACCAATTTCTGCGCATTATCGCCAACGAAGCGGATCTAGCCAACGTTGAACTCTTTACCAACGAAGATTGCGCGCAAATCACAGCCAATGGCACTTGCAACTGCTATCGGAATAAGCACAACTCGACCATTATCGAGTGTGCTGCGACACAAGTACACATCTCCATAAACGCTGAGAACATCGTAGAGCTCACTTGCGCAGGTGAACTGAAACCAGAGTTGCTAAGCAGCTTACCGCGACTGGATCCACTACGTGAAACTAAGTATATCGCCATATACAACTGCTTGCCTTTCGCCGATTTGTTGGACCAGTTGGCACTCACGTCCAGGCAAACATTGCAAGTAAATGGTCTAGCGGGGATAGCGCAGATTACTCTCGATACCTTTGGCCGCGCCAATCAATGTTTGCGGAAGATTACAATGCTGGAATTGCGCGCAGACTCCCAGCGATCAGCACGGCGCGATTTGCCACACGTAGCCCAAGAGCTTTCTTCGGATATACTAAGTCCAATGCCAGCACTGTTTCGCCTTTTTATAGACTTGAACTTCACGCGTTTGCCAGCTGATCTACTCAAGCCAGTGCCGTACATAAACGATATCACACTGCAGGGTCGATTGGAGGAATTTCCGCGTGCAACATTTGTGCCTCTACGGCGCTTACGTGAACTCTCTATGCGCCAACACCGACTGCACAATCGTCTGCGCGAGGATGACTTTAGCGGTTTGACAACAGTTAGAGGACTTTATTTGACCAATTGTAGCATTCAGGAGTTGCCGGCGCGTATCTTTACACCTTTGAAGCTCTTACAGCGGCTCAATTTGATGAACAACCAGCTGTACGAACTGCCGACTGCACTACTGGCGCAGCAACAGCGCTTGCAAGTGTTAAATTTGAGCGGAAATCTGTTGGAAGCATTGCCGTTGGGCCTTTTTGCAGCGACTACCAAACTTTTTAAGCTGATTTTGAGTCGCAATCGGTTGCAGCACTTGGACGCCAAAATACTGCCACCTCTGACCGCAATCATCGACCTTTCGGTAGACAACAATCAGCTGCGCACAATCGAGGCGGGCACTTTTGCGCAACCGAATCGCTTGCAAGGGCTCGACTTGCGAAATAACCAACTCGACTGGATGGCTGGTGAGGACTGCGCCATCTTTGATGGGTTGCATCGCTTGGAACGTCTGCTGCTGAGCAACAATTCACTGCGTTACCTTTGCGATCAGCTGGGCTCCAGCAATCATTCAACCAGCGCGCTATCGGTGCTCGACGTGCGTCAAAATAAACTAAAGCTGATCAGCCCACAGCTGATAAGTACACTAAATACAAGTGCAACGATAACGACCGCTTATCTTTCGGAGAACCCATGGGCTTGCAACTGCAGCGCCCAACCACTGCTCAACTTCGTCAAGAATAATCGCAAACGTTTGAGCGATGCGCGCGTGATGCGTTGCGAGAATTCGCAGCTGGCACGCTTAATTGAATTATCCTTTCGTGACTTTTGTCTGCCAGAGATCGGCGTGCGTACAGTGTTGGTAGTCATACTTGTATGCATGACCGCATTGGGACTAGTGCTCACCACAACAGCGCTCTGTTATTACAAATATCATATGGAATTGAAAATTTGGCTATATGCGCATCGTCTATGCCTTTGCTGTGTGAGCGAAAAAGATGTCGATCGTGATCGCAAATGGGATGCTTTCATTTCGTATTCACATCACGATGAGCAATTCGTGGAGAAGGAGCTGGTGCCGGGCTTGGAGCAGGGCCCGCCAACTTTCAAGGTTTGCATACACGTGCGCGATTGGCTTGCCGGCGCTTACATACCCGAGCAGATCATTGACTCTGTAGAGCAATCGCGTCGTACGATCATTGTGCTATCACAGCATTTTATTGAATCAGACTGGGCGCAGATGGAATTTCGCACAGCTCATCAGTGCGCCGTGAATGAGGGACGTTCGCGTATCATTCTTGTGGTTTATGGTGAAATTAAAGATACAGAGCTGCTGGATCAAGAGCTGAGAGCCTATTTGAAGATGAACACCTACCTGAAGTGGGGTGATCCATGGTTTTGGAGGAAACTGCGCTACGCAATGCCACATGCGCGAAGCGGGAGATGGAAACTTAAAGGAGATGTCAGCGAAGTGGAGAACAATGAAGGCCCTTTGGAGTTTATGGGGAGCGCATGATTTTTTTAAATCCATTATATATGTTGTCACCAATGAGCTATGAAGTATATTTTATTTAACTGAAAGCATAATTTTTTTGCGAAACTTCAAAAGAATGTGGAAAATAGTTTACAGAAATTTTAAACAGACACTATTTTTACAAGCTTTTATTAGGTTTCACCTGTGTTTAATCAAATCTTGCAACCAATTTTTTACCACTTTCCCCATAAGCTAGAGACGTCTGCTACAATATTTTTCTGTTAGTTGACTTCCGCTGCCTTGGAAAAACGTCATATCGTCTACTTTCGCTTGGCGAGTCTATTAATATATCTTGTAATACTGGTTGCAAAGAAGAGGTATTATATATAGGAAGAGGTCCTATATATAGGATTCAGACCACTGTGCAGCCGTATTGATATTACCGTATTTATTTAAAGTAAGTATCCCAGTGGGAAAATGTAATGTATGATAATCGGTAAATAATCAGTAAAACAACCCTCTTCACATTCGAAAATGCATTATTTTTCCCACGGCGATGTCCTAAGAAAAGTGGGGCATTCAATTTTGCATTACCAGTAATGCAGGAATAAATGTGATTTAACATGATTTTTTTGCGACTTTTTGGATACATTAGAATGCTGATTACATACTAAACATTAATAGAATATAGAACTCGTAAGAAATACATCATTCAATATCAAATATAAATCATTGATATCATTAAATGTTATATACATGTATATAAATCCACTATCAACAGCTTAGAAGAGAATGCACACATACCTGTAAATAAACGAGAAAAGTATTGAGTTTTTGTTAATTAATGCATTTTTAAATAATGTTGAATATTCTTCATAAATAACGAAACTTAAATAAAATATCACAAAAACACCGGTAGTGCTATTCGGTAACTTTTTTAATATCCGACGATCGATGTCATAATTTATGACAATCATCGCCTGCGTTTGCGACAAGTTTATTCTGTAACTACATACGTATGTACATACATATGTATATCGTATCCCAACTAGCCAAATGCGGAGCGCTCAAAATATGGAGAGAAAAAGGACTCCCACAGTGACACCTGGAAGAAGCGTTTTCGGAATGCTCTGAATATGGATGGAGTCAAGTGTTTTGTTTTTGTTATCTTGTTTGTCTTTTCTCTGTATCTAGTCTGTAAGATGGCAATTCAATCAATCTGTTATCGGAGCACTACCAAAACACTGCGTCTATGTTATCTTCGGATGATTTAAGGAGTCCTTTCTACAAAATCATAGGCGAATACGGGAGTGCGCACGGAGTCTTTGCGGATTAACTGAGGGAGCTTTTTGTGACGCCGAAATTACACATTTAAGCAGTCCTAAAGTCACACGTTTTTCATATACTTATATTGAGAAGACACTTTTATTCGGCGGATATTCTCGTTTGGTGCTCTTTTTGGAGCCTTCCTACGGGCATCAGCGCAGCGCACAGGGAGTCCTAATTGTGTGCCCTGAGACTGCGCTCGGTTGATATTCGCCGCAACGATTCGTCCAGTAAAACAGAACCGAAATGAAATTCACATCAGCTGCATAAAAATTTAAAATATAAAATTACAAAAGTGAAAAGATGAGCCCACAAATCCCCGCTAATTATCTGCTAGAAAAGTGAAGAAACAAAGCTGCCTTTTCACTGACTGCTGATTTTGTGACCGGTGGCAGCGGCAAAATTATCTCGTATTAATACTGCAGTGTGTTTTAATTTTGATAGCGAACTTTCCTCCGACGAAGTTTGCTAAGCGATTTGATTTTGGGTACTGACTTACTCGTATAATAACATTTGACGCGCACATAATTTTAATAGAAAGATTAAATCTGCCTCATCCTGCAGAGACGGTTCGGTTGAGTATTTTGTAGTGTACTGATTTTTTTCACTCAGAGCGTTGGGAGCTCTAATTATATGTTGCGGTGTCGGGACATCTTGATGCTAATGATGTACGCTTTTATCAATCTTTTGTTAAAAATGTCCTAGAAATTTTCAAGTCTTAAAAAAAAATCCTGACGTCAAACAGAAAACCAAAAAAAACAAACATATTATGGGCCCCTAGTTTCGTGTGCCTGTCGTGTGTGCACGGTGCCTTTCAGAATCTGAAACACGGCGCCCTCAAAAGTATTTGATGTCATACAGAAACAAAGATTGAAGTGATCACATATTTCCATGCTACAACTATTTGTCAAATCTACAGCAAGAGGCATAACATTGGCCATATCCTTCATACATACGGTGACCATCCGTTCTATTTTTTGCAGGACCGTACTGTTTTTCAAAGGTCGGTCCTGCGTAGTTTTTCAATCCTAAAAAACCTGAAAATGTACTGATTTTTTCCAAGTGTCCTGCATTTGTCCTGCATTATATTCGTTATTTTAAAATTATCGGACAATGGATGGATTTTTCCAAAAAAGTGTTTTTTGGTACTTTTCGTAGCTTTTCTTCAATATCTCATGAGGGTATTGATGTGCCTCTTACCAAAATATATAACTTGTGGCGACCTCAATGAAAAGTATTAGTGCTACAGGCGACCATTTGCATTTTGTCGTCAAAGTCGAAAAAAGTGAGATTTTCAATCAAATACGCAGTTTCATTTGATTATTTTTTTCATTATTTTAAAAATTCGATAAAGAATATATATATCATTACAGTCAATTTTGAGCCAAAGATAATGAAAATCGGATTAGATATGTAGATACTATGGAGCGCACAAATTATATATTTTTGTAAAGGGCACTTTGTAACTCGTCGTTTACGTCGATTCATGACGTCGATATTTGACAAATAACTGCGAAAAGTAACAAAAAACAAAAAAAGGGTATTTTTTTCATTTTGAACGACTCAAAGTTTGACTATAAAATAATCTTTTAAAGATTTTCACTTTTCGTGTAAGCTATTGTAATTATAATATGTTTTACTATACTTTCATAAATATTCATGTAAAAAAAGATTAATAGCGATGAAAATGATTCATTTTTAAAGTTTAAAATGTATTAAGAATTTAGAATCATATATACTCTTTTGATATTTTTATACTACGTAAATATATGTAGGCATATTTTTGAAAAATTGTCCTTCATTTTGAATCCATATTTGTGGTCACCGTATTCGTACGCCTAACTATTCTCATAAGGCTAGTTTACAAGTACTTTCAGATCATTACTCGAACCATATGTTAGGTTAGAAAGGTGGCCGAAAAACTATTACGCCCATGTAACATTTTGATACCATATACCTCGAATGAATATGTTAGAACCAACTGGCGTGGTAGATAATGGTGAGTACGTTGCGGAGACTTATAAATATATCGCACACCGTCTTCAAAAGAGTCGCAACTCAAAATAATACGTTTGTCAGAAAATGCGAAAAACTATTTCTTAGCACATGATAACGGGCAAGGGCGTCTTTACCTTAGGTTTTTTTAAACAAATTATAACAAAAATTTGCTCCAGCTTTTGCTGAAAGATAAATAAAAGCTCTGCGTACATTTTGAGTTATGAATCTTTAGAAAACGGTGTGCGATATATCAGATAGCGCTCGTAAAGATGTGACTCATATACTCCCAGCATGGTATTTCTGCTCCTCATTAGAGATGGACCATTTGAAATTTGATACTTTTTCCCTTTTTCTGCCCAATCGCTAATTGACTGACATGGAAGAAATTCCTTTCTGTGCCGAAATAGGCGTCTGCAACTCGCTGCCACCAGCTATCAGCTTTTTAACCAAACTACTACTTTTTACAACTGTTAACAGCTGCCGACAATTTCACCGGATGCCAATTCACAGCAAGCATTTTCGGCATAACTGTTTTCCCCCTTTTTTCTAAACCATTTCTAAAATAATCTCTACTCAGCTGTAGATGAGACAATGTCTTCATAACCACCACTATTCCTTGCGCACCCTACTCATTGAATTCCTTGCACGTTCTTAGTCACACATAAAAAAAATGCGTGCATGTATCTAGGTGTGTTCTATTGTTTTATATAGTGTCTGCTGTTTTTGCGTGACTTTTTTTCCTTTGATTTTGTACAATTGTTGCTTTTTCCCCCTTAATATTGCAAGCATCTGCGCTTAAGTACTTCTTTCCGCAGCATCTTTGTTGTTGTAGCGAGTGAGTTCTATTCACAACGAGGATTTTACTTTACGCTTATGTTAAACTTTACTTTGCTATTTCCCTCCCAATTCACTTTTCTCTTCTCAACGCCTGAAAGGGTACTGCTTATGTTTCCTCTCAATTTACACTCATTCGTAAGCAAAGTACATACTCATTCACACATTCTTTCGACGTGTTACCTCCTTGTGCTAACGCTTCTCTGCATTCCGTTCATATTCTACATGCATTCCATTATCCTGGCAGCTAGCCTTTGTTCATGCCTCATAGTTACTCATACGCCTCGTTGTCTGTGGCCGGTCTTTAGACTTGGTATAGTTTCATTGTTTTCCCGCAATTTGTTTTTATGCTGCTTTTCTCATCTAAGTATTTTGACGACACAAAAAGAATCCTCTTAAAATTTGCTTTTGTTCTTGTGCATTACGGCTTGTCGCTTTTATCTGTTTTAAGATATTTCTGATGCGCTTTGTTTACTCGTTTACGCGTCGAGGGCGTGAAGTGGGTTGTAGCGCGATAATCACATAAATGTTAATGGCCAATTTTTTTGAGTCAAGTGTTTAAAGGAAATAAGAAGAGCAAAACAAAAAACTTGGAAAGCGATTAGTAGAACGTACAAAGAGATAAATTTAATGAAGCGTGAAAAGAAAATTAAATCAGGTGAGCAAGGAGGAGCGCATATCACAAAACGAAATTTAAAAAATTTTAGCTTTGTAGCTGTGCATAGCCAGTGTGGCTTATACTAAGTGCACTTCGAAATCGATTTCCGACCCAAGAAAAATTAAGTGAAAAACGCAGAACCTGGAAGGAATTTATACAATCCAAATGAAGAAAATGGAAAAGAGTCAAACATTCGTTTCGTTTAATGTAAACAACACATTTGTAC